ATGTTCCAATCTTTTTTTGATACCTGAAAAAATTTACTTCTTACTATTCTAGTTATCATTCCTGTCTGTATTTCCTTGTAGTTGTTACTTTCCAATCAACATTAACATCCAAATTAAACATCCCAGTTTGGGAAGTCATTGTTGATAAATATCAAATTTTAAGATAATAAAACAAATTTGACCAATTTCTTACCAATGCACCAATTCGTTAAGACCCATATGGATTAAACGCATTAGCATATGCAGCTTGCGACAATGCTTTTTGGTTGCAATGAAAATACAACAGTTCGCGAAAAAATGGAATACTACAACTTTCCACAAATTTTTTACACGGACAGTTACAAAACGGTCAAGAGTGACATCGTCATATCATATTGCATCGTATCCAAGTGCGATGTGTCGAAATTTTCATGCTCATTCAGCATTCGTCCACAAATAGGATGATCTTATTAATTTCGCATTATCACCTTAGACAGGTCGAACTTGACAGCAAGATGGAACGATTTGTCGCACAACAAAGCACAATTCATGAACCTATGTGGACGGAACATACATCGAGGCATTTATAATCGCCCGATTTGGATCTTAGACATTACCAGACATACCGAACGAAGGACAAAGGTGGCGATATCGTTATCGCTATTCGTGATTTCCTTTGAATGAACACTATGGAGCAACGATTTTAGGTGGCGACACCGACATATGTAGTTTGTAGGTCACCGACCGAAGCTGGCAGAATCAAATATCTGTACTATTTTGTTAACATGAATAAAATTGTTGGTTTTGGGCTGTTTAATGTAAAAAAAAAGACAGGACAACGAATTAAATTTTTCTTAAGCGATTCTGTCAGTTGGATTAATTACTGCGGAATTTAATTGAAATTCTATGTCTGCCTTTTATACATGCATTCTTAATATTTTCTATATTTAAAACGACATGAATCAATATACTGATGGGACCGTGGGGCGTTGAAAAGGGAAAGAATAAGAAAATCTGAGAGTTGATCAAATTTTGATTAATTTTATGTCCATTTCTGCTAATATAATACAGATTAACTTTAAAATCAACTTTAATCTCGGTTTAATTCACTTTTTATCTTTTTTCAGTTCTAAGTATTAGAGAGAAAAAAGATAGAGTAAATTAAAGTAATTACTCTACATTCTTGTACAAATGGACATTAATCAACAATTAACTTAAGAATTGATTTCTGCAGATTTTTCAATTACCGTATAATTTATTCTTCTTACATTCTATTCTATTTTTCTAAAATTAATTGTTTTACTAACAAAACAGTATAGTATATAAATATTACTTGAAAAGTTATAAAACGCCAATTAAGTTAATTCATGCTAGTTTAATTTCAAAATCGCTATTTCAATATAGATTAACTTTAATTTAGGTTTAATATACTCTTTTTCTAATCTTTAAAATGAGAGAAAAATAAAAAAAAATAAATGAGAAACCAAAATTAAAATTAATTGATTTAAGTAGAATATGTGATGTATAGAAATTGAAACAAACGAACTTTTTTTGATTGCTTTCTATTTAAATGCTTTCAATGCTTTCATCCTTGTTTTACGTCTAATGAATTATAAAGACAGAATGATTACACGCGCTTAAAAAGCGTGAGTGACCAAATCGAGCACAGCTGACATCTTTAACAATTACGCATAATTATGTTAGGGTGTTCCTAAACTCATGGAAGGAAGACTACGCATTTAAAGAGCCGGGAAACAACATAACCTGTAAAATGCATATTTTGAAAAGCCTCACGAATATTATAGATTCGTTAAAAATATAAAAACAGTAAATAGTTACAAGTTTGAATCATTCTGTGCCATATAATTTTGGGGCAGAATTGGAGGCTCCTACACAGTTGGATCATCTGGACATAATATAACAAAAAGGACCTGTAAAATATGACGCTTTTATTAAAAAGATAAAGAAGGATACGATTATTGATTCATGATTCTGTATTATATACATAACATCTTCAGATTTAAAAAATGGAAAATATTATTATTAATTGGTATCTGCATTCTTGCTTTAAGAATCAACGTTATTTTACAAAATTTATATCCTTCTGTAACACAGCTGACTGAGCTACAGAAGTGTCCAGTGTGTTATGGCGTTTCTGCATGTCATAACATTCACAAAGTAGATCTCCTGTGGAATAATGTTAATGTGATAATTTCTCATTTGTTTGGCGTTAAAAATATATTCTTTGGAACGTATAATCAAAGTAAAGTGGTCCTTAAAAAATTGGCACACTCTTCTGAATTAAAAGCGCTTGATGTTACACTGTGCAATGAACTCCATTTGGGATATCCCTGCTCTAATGTTCCATTAGACAGATATAAAGCAGATTTTTATAATCTTATTAGAAAAATAATTACTTCTGATTTTTCCAAGGATGATACAAGTCGATTAAGACTTTGTCCAACAATTAGACATTTAGATGATCTATTTTACAATGTTCATCTTAATAATAAACATATTGATCCCACACAATATCTAATTAACCTCTGGACATTAGTTTCCATAAATCCAGAGCCTTTAATACTTCAGGTAAATTATAATAAAAGTATATAAAAATTATATAGTTCATTTTGATTATAGGATTTATTAGATAATGTTAGAGATTAATTTTTGATAGAGAGAAAGATTGAATATATATTACAATTATATATTTTATATATATATATATCTCTAAACGCTTCTTTTTAGATATTATCTGCCGAAAATGGATGGCCTGTGCCAAGATATTTCGGAGCTTGCGGTCGGATTATTATTGAAGAATATGTTGGGTTACCGCTGTCTGATTATTATGACAAATCTTGGATTCAAAGAGTAAAAATAGCTTCGAGCCTTTTAAATGCTGCTTATTTGTTTACCTTCAAAAACGAAATGTTTGGTTTTTATTTAACGGATATATCGGCTGATAATATTGCTGTTGACCATGAAAATGTAGCAAAATTTATTGATTTAGAGAATATTATTATTGTTGACAAAAACATTTCTCAAGGTAGTAAACATTTTCTTGTTATAAAGACATTTATGAAATAAGCAAGTGAATATTACACTCCATTTGTATGATATTTGTAGAATTTGTTGAACCAAAGAACTGGCAGAAAATACATAATACAATACACTTCGATTGTCCTAATTGTTTTGCATTTTCTTCCAAGGATATTTGTAATCATCATTTAAGTGACCACAATTATTATGCAATTTGCCAGGTAGTTGCTATTTTATTTATACGTAATTATGGTCAGATATATTAAGTATCTTTTTATATATACACTGTATATTAATATTAAATATATTTATAAAAGTGTATGTGTGATTGCAGCTTCTATTAAATTCAGGAAATAAAAATCCATTTTCTGGTGGATTTCTTCACGATGTACCTACTAATATTGAGCAGCAATATCCGGACATTGAGGATTTATTGCAACAATGTGCCGTTCCTCGTTCTACTAATTCTAGAATATTTTTTGGTCAGCGATTAAAGATATTATTGGATACGATTTTAGACGGAATATCTCAACATGAATATGCCACAAAGTAGCTTGTTACAATAGCGTAAGAAATTTTTTAATATAATGTTATTGTGTTGAATATTTTTTCTTACTCTTGTATGTATATTTTTGATATTTATTTACAATTTAATGTTACGTTACAAATTACTTCAATAATGTTAATGAAGTTGTATATAAAAATGGTATGTAATTTTAATTAAATTGAAGATGAATAAAACTACATTCGTATATCGCTTGATTTGTTTCTTTGGCATCTATTAATATTTGTAATAATAATTGATATAGGGGATAACGTGTGTAATGTAATTTCAAACATGGTATACTGAATAAAATAAGATTTGAATTCAATTTTCGAAGTTCAAATTTTACCTTTTTTGTGTATCCTTTAGTGTCCTCTATACAATGAGAGGATTACTAAACTTAAACTTTGGGAAAATTGGATTAAAATTTTACTTATTTCGTTTCAAAATTATACCATTTTATCCTATTTGTGTTAGAGACAGTGCAAAGTAATGTTAATAAATAAAAGAAGAATATTTTATATATTTTAATTTATATAGAAAAAGTTTAGGTATATATACAATTATCTAAATAATAATAATAAAAAATACTTTATATTACAAGATAGTTTTATATGCGTCATATTCGATTAAGACATTTGGCACTATTTATATCTTACAACCTTATTTTAACGTACATTGAATTATATAATACAATTGCCTAAGGTTACTGATTCGTTTAAGTAACAAACGTGTACCAGGATGGTCCATCTTTGTAGGTAAAACAAAATTTGTTTTTTTTTTCGAGATTTTTTAAGGCTGTTCAGATTCCCAAATGCCATCCAGGTGACATTTTATTCTTGTTGCTCATCAAATGTTAAACAAGGATATGATCCTGAGGAGCATTTAGGTGGGAATCTGAACATGTCCTAAATAGTACCCTATTATGAAATAAAATTTTCTGTTCTCTTTCCTGTCCTTCTATTTCGTTCTGGGACAACAAGAAAGCGTGCTGACCTTCACTTAATTTTGGTAAAGCTATTTCACGAAATAAATATAATTTGTCTTTTACTTAATTTATGTTAGAAATATCTCTTAAATTATATCAAATTTTAGTAAAACAGTTTTTACTAAAAAATTTGTTTAAAAAACGACTACTGTCAAATAAGGATTTTCAGATTCTAAAGAAGTTCTTTTGAAACCATTACAATAATTATAATTTTATAGCTAAGGCAGACATTTTTATACTTATTAGATACGTATATTAGTTGCATTGCCATAATTTATAATACTATATAAATCTTTTGAAAATTAATAAATATTTTATATTATATAAATATTATATAATAATATTGATTAATAAAAGAATTTATAAAATATATTTTTTCCAGATATATATAGTTGTTGAACTAAAATACGAGTTTCCAAATATTTAAAAATCTTATTTTGCTATGTGCGTGAATTATTATTTTTCTAGGAACTCAAGAACAAAAATTGTTATATTTGTCAGTCTTATTAACGTCATGTCAAGTTTTTTCATGTGAGTTTAGGCATTATATAATAGCTTACTTTGTTGTATTACTAGGTGACAGTTTCTGAACTTTTTCCTTTAATAACGCAATCTCTTCTTGCAGCCCTTGAATTGTGTCATCTTTAATACGATTATCATTTTTTAAATCCACAATAGTATCTTTTAATCCATTTATTATTACATCCTTGTCGTCATCAAATTCCTTCAGAAGCTGATTTGTCGATGGTCGTTCGGAAGGATCCTTTCGCACCATTTGTTTGACCAGTCGTGTCTAAGTAAAAGTACATACACAATTTAGATTTAAGCCCTCATTCTGTAATTCTTAATGACAGTAATGATATTGTTACATTGTCTTTGCACAGGTTTTGTACATGATAAGAAAGCTGCGCAATGACAACATAATGATATTGTTAAGAATTATATAGAATAGGAGCCTGAATAAAAATCAACATAAATATGTATAATATAAAATATAATAAATAATTTAATATGTGTGTGTGTGTGTTTAAAACTCACCCATTTGTGTCGCTTGAAAGCTTCTGGTACTGTATCATTCTTTAAAGAGCTGATTATAGAAATTAACTCCATTTGAGTTTTTATTGGAATTAATAGCTCAGTGAGAACGATTCCTATACTATAGATATCACTCTGCAAAAAAAGAACATATATTATAATGCAAGATATATTCGAAAATGTAATACTTTATATTCATTAGTATTTTTTCCTTTTTTAATTACCTGTCGATCACACTTTCCCTCCAGTTGTTCTGGTGCTGCGTACAAATGGGTACCAATTACGGAATGATGCTTTTCTTTTTGTAATGGACAAGCTAAACCGAAATCACCTAATTGAATCTGAAGCTGTCCGGTTGTCGAAATAAATATATTACTTGGCTGTAAAATATAAATATATTGTTGGCTGTAAAATGTAATCATATTTCGGAAGAGGTTTATGTTATGTTGATGAAGATATGTGCATTTTTACCTTTATATCGTGATGTACAACTTTTTGGGAATGCATATAGTTGACTCCACAAAGTATCTGTTGAAATATTGCTTTAACTATTGGTTCAGGTGTTACACTTATTTTACTGCGCAGCCAATGCTCGAGTGTTTGTTCACACAAAGACATTTGAATGTATAAAATCACGTACGGTCGATTCTGTTGACCCAAAATAATGACAAATATTAAAATTTATTATATTTACCAATATATTTTCAATATCCACTTTTGTCTTAAAACAAAATATTTATATACTTAATAAGCAGCGCTGATAATAAGAGTTAAACTAGTTTTGAACAGTAACACAGGACCACAAACAAAAATTTTTGAAGAGCAACTGAAAGCAGAATAGGTGTTTCTTATAGATTTTGGGTCGTTGAATTCGAATTCGCCGTTTTGCTCCATCATCTCCAGTTTTTTAGTTAATCGAGAAAAATGATGAAAAATCTGTAAAAATTAAAACATTGTGAAAAGAGTAAAAGTAAATATGACATTAAAATGTGGTTATTTATATGTATTTTGACAAATTAAACAAAGGGTAAGAAATAAAAAAAAAACAAAAGGTAAGAAATAAAAAATTTCACAATAAGTAATAATTGTATTCGGACTCTCAAATTCAAAACAAATTAAAAGTATGACTAAATTAGGCTAGTGAGAGTCAAGCAACAAAAAAATTTCGTTTTATTAATGCCAGGAAATTGAAAAAAAATTACACCATTGTAGTTTTGTAAGATCAAATTTTTTTTTTCATTGAAAGATCTTCGTATTGATTTCCTATTGCGACTACTTTTTGTTTCCCTCTTTAAATCCCAACAAAAATCTGACATCATACGTTTATCCCAAACACCTTGATAACGTTTTTCCATGTCTTTAATGTCTTGATGGAATCTTTCTCCTTGTTCTTTGCTGAAATCTCCAAGATTTTCAGGGAAGTAGTTAATATGAGAACGCAGATTCCATCAAGATATCAAAGACATGGAAAAACGTTATCAAGGTGTTTGGGATAAACATATGATGTCAGATTTTTGTTGGGATTTAAAGAGAGAAACAAAAAGAAGTCACAAGAGGAAATCAATTCGAAGATCTTTCAATGGAAAAAAATTCGATCTTACAAAACTACAATGGTGTAATTTTTTTTCAATTTCCTGGCATTAATAAAGCAAAATTTTTTATTTCTTATCCTTTGTGTTTTTTTATTTCATATCCTTTGTTTAATTTGTCAAAATACATATAAATGACCACATTTTAATGTCATATTTACTTTTACTCTTTCTACAATGTTTTAATTTTTAAAGATATTTCATTATTTTTCTCGATTAACTAAAAAACTGAAGTTATGGAGTAAGACAGCTTATGAATTCGAATTCAGCGACCCGAAATCTATAAGAAACACCTATTCTGCTTTGAGTTGCTCTTCAAAAATGATTTTTTATTGTGCTGTGTAATTAATGTTTCAAATATTTGAACGGATTCCTACATTGTTTTACTATGGACTTAACAAGATTCTCGTTTCTAACTGATGAATGAACACCGATCAATTATCTTCATTTTAATAATTGACGTATTGTTCAATTTTTATTTATTGATGTACATTATAAGTTGTTAAAATTTACACAGTCTCTTATTATAATTATTAATTTATTGCTGTTTCATTCTCGTTAGTTATTCAGAATAATTTTGATTTCAATTTGTTACATATAAGAATTGATGAAGACCAAGTAAAGGTCAAAAATGTTATTCTTTATATTAATGAAGTAATAAAAAAGTTATTATGTTATTGCTATTTTCTGGTCGCTTTTTTTTTTAAATTTGCTTTGCAAAAAGGAGCTGATACATATTTCCTAATTACGTTTATATACTTACTTTTTTAGAAGCGTACATACATATTTCTTGACTAGTAGATTCTATGTCTGCAATTGTTTGATCTAGATTTTTATTGCTATTTCGAAAAGACACTACGTCTGAATAAGATTCGTTAGTACATTCTTCTATGTCACTTTTCTCAACAATTTCCTCTCCTGTGGTGTTAACCGACAAATTAAGTTCCTCAAATCTTTGACTAATAGTGCTGCGATTAAAAATACTATCACTATTTTCCCAATTCCCATATATCTTATTTTGCTTTTTCTTTTTATCTATATACATATCAATGGTAGAAGATGCTTTAGTATCAGGTAATATATTTTGCTCATTGAGACATATTTTACTATTATTAAAATTCACACCATTTTTGTTATCGAATAAATTGTTGATGGACTGCGAACTATATGACTTGGTTTCTTTTCGATAGTATTTCGATCCATGTGATGACCTGTATGATTTTCGATCTGTAGATGACGAAATATTAGGCAATGACAACGGTTCCATCCAAGCCGCATTGTAGGAAACAATATTAGTATGCTTTAATTTAGCCAATGTCCATACTTCATTTAGTTGCTGCTTGATAGTCTCTATATGATCAACGGGCATAAATATTTTTTTAATCGCATATTCGATGCCGTCGAGACGATGTTGTGCTTTATAAACTTCACCAAAGCCTCCACGAGCAATGAAGCATATTTCGCGAAATTCGTCGCGATAACGGAATTTCGGTGTTATGAATCTGCGTAAGAATGTGAATATCAATGTGACGTTATAATACACTCTTCGTAAAAAAATGCGCACAGGTCTAGACTATTATTTAAAATAAAATAAAATAAATAAAAATATGGCGAAATGATACAGGACTTTCCATTTTTTCTCAACAAGATCTATGAGAAAAAAATCAGTTAAAGCAGATCTTACTTCTTAAATATTTCAGAGTGAATTTATATACATGTCCAATTCTACAAACTATGCACCAAAATCTTTTTAGAGCTTGAAACACAATCATTGAACAGAATTAGACTAGTAATATGTAATATCATATATTAAATTGACAAGCAATAATTTTTAAAACTAATAAGCCTCTTAAAATATTAAAAATTTGATACTAATTTAAGCATCTTAAGAACTGTAAATAAGTTTATCGGCCGGGATCCGAATTCAAATCTCCTGTATTCTGTGTGGATATCCTCACTATTCACAATGAATTAAATTATTTATAGTTTTAAGATGCTTAGATTAAATCAAGTTATTAATATCCTTTTAAAGTGCTTATTAGCATAAAAAATTAATATTTAAAAAACTCTGGGAAAAAAGCTATAGGAATCGGCGCTGTGATCAGTGCGCATAAAATTAGATATCGAAAAAAACATTTAATTTGTCACCATTAGAAGATGTAAATTCAAAAAATTGTACGACATCATATATGTAACAAACTCGGCCACTTACAGGTAAACTTTACCATCTTCAGCGCAAATATGAAGACATCGTAACGATAAATTAATTAACTTGATCCGTTGTGTCTCACTGGCAATCGAATTTAAACCTATAAGAGGATGTTTATTCCACAGCTAATTAAAAGGCTGAATAGTAATAAAAATTATTAAATTGCTTATCAATTTAATACGTGATATTACAACTAGTTCTGTTTATATTGCATTTCAAGACCGCAAAAGATTTTGGCACGCAATTTGCAGAGAATTGAATATAAATATTAATTCATCGAAAAAATATTAATTTAGTCGAAACGTCTAACGAATATAATTATGTATTATTATTAAATCGACGTTTTAAATAACTAACGTTTTTCACATTGACACCCAGTGCAGGCTTATATATGCTCCTTATTAATTATTAATGAATTAATTCCTTTTGAAATATTTAAGCACTAAGATCTGCTTTAACCAAAAATAGATTTATTTTTCTTGATTTACTTTTCTCGTCGATCTAATTGTAATTGTTGAACTACGAGAAAAGTTCGACGTGTCGAAGTCGTGTTGATCCCGTTATCGAGAAAACAATCCCAATGTCTACATCTGTGCGTAACATTTTTTGTCAAAGAACATATTACAAGATTTAAAAAGACATATTGTATAAAATGATGTAATACCTTGGTATAGATATAGACAGAGCATTTTCACTTTTAAGCTCACCACGAGCGACTGTAAGCATGTGATACAAAGCATGTTGATATTGTCCTCTTAGCATTTCGAATTCTGGCGTATTATAGGTGTCGTTAATTAATTGCAATTGGTGTAGTTTATCACAAATTGCTATAAAACAAATATTGTTGTGTACAAAACAAATGTCTTAATAGGAATATTTTTACATGTTAATAGTAATGTTTAAAGACAGAAGGATTATACTATAATATAATTTATTTCTGCGAACTTTATCCTCTTCTAACAGATTGCATAATTGTCGTAGGAGTGATTCAATTAAGATGCCAGTGGATTGAGTTATTTGCTGTTCTCGTGGCGCAATTGATCTGTTTTCATTTTTATTAATATTGTCCAGACAAAACGTTGACCTCATGTTGTTACTTGAGCCTAAACAAATCAAGATTTGTAAATTTCAGATATGTATCCCAGTTTTAGGAAATTACAAGAATGTCCATTTAAATGTTAATGAAAATGATGCAATGTATGTCAAAAAATGTGACCACAAAGTTGTGTTCATTAAATCATTAATAGCGTGTATTTATAAAAATATAAACTCTGCAGTATTACAGTTAAGTTTTGTTATACCTTATTAAATGTTAAAAATAATGATTTTTTTCCGAAATGATCATCTCTAGCTTCGATTCAAGTTTTAAGATGCTTCGGAAACATCAATGCATTTTGTTATGGGTAAATTCTACCAGGTAGCCAATAGAGTAGTATTTAATTTACTAAATAATGAAAATCTTTTAAAATCTATAAAGTTTTATTTAGTTTTTAATTTAATTAAATATAACTAATACTTCAGAGTTTGCTTTATTTTAAATATACGTTATTATAATACAATTATAGAACAATGGTATATTACAGTAACATAGACTTAAAAAAGCGAACTCTAAAGTTTTCTCTGCATTAGTATTCTCTGCATGTAGCAAGCGGATATTTCGTAGTTTAAATAAGTCTTTAATGTCATTTTAACGGCAAAATGACTTCTTTAACATTATTTTGATGTAAAAATGAGAAATAGTTTGTTACTTGAGTAATGACTTATCACACAAAATTTTGTGTCTATTGATAATTAAAAAATTTTTCTTAATTTAAAAATTACAAAAATGTTCATTCAAATTCTTAAATATAAAGAATGATGCAACATATTATGTACCTATTACTATGGCAAAAAAATTAGAAAAAAACTCAAAAATTATCAATAAACATTTGTATAAGATATCTTTTCTTTCGCACTGAAATGAATTTGTCATTTTAAAAAAGATTGTACATTAAAAACTTAAAATTTTTACTTATTGTTAGAAAATTTTTTATGTATTAAAATCTATTTTCCATATTTCGTAAACATTTCAAGATAATACATTTTGAATATTTAAACATTCCGAACATAAAAGTCACTTGAGCCTACATTTCGGCAGATAATTATTACATCAAATGTTCGAAAAAGAGCGCCAGATTGATAGCACAATATAGATAGCATTATACATATATATGTATACCCTGGTCAAACGTGGTTATGGTCGTCAGAGCATTCCAAGGATGATTTGTCTGCTCCGTATTCTCCGTCATTCCACAATCGGAGGATTCCAATTCCCTTCTTTTGCGCTCCATAACGCCGACGAGAGCGGACTGACGTGGACGACACTGACTGACAGCTCCGAGATTCCACCGATTCCACCTGCCGAACTGTAAACGCTGTAAATCGACGATTGGCGGTTAACATGCTCTGTACCACTCTGTACATGTTTCGCGCACTTGCCTACCTTCCCTGAAATCCTGTCTCAGCCACCACGTCCAAACAACGTTCAACCAGACGAACGGACGCTAAAATCCGCGAACACCGAGGCGATGTGATGCGCGAATCCGTGAATTTCGACATTGCGCCAAGATAAGTACGGGAAGAAAGATTTGAACGTTCGAACGTTCTGGAAGTATTCGTTAATCTTCTTGTCACGCGCACTAGGCTACTAGGCACACAGAGCTGGTTTGATAAGTCAGATCAAGTCAGACGCGCAGTTATTAGTTCGATCTTACTAAATTCTTGATCCTTAATCCTGTTTAATCCTGAGATTTAAGAAATTACACAAGGCTGCTATTGGACTGATTGGACTGCATGTATACGTCACCATCAATTTTATTTAGTAACATCCGTAATTAACTATATAATGACGTCTGATGAAATGATAATTGAACTCAGTTTTATAACATCAGTTAATAATTATGGATGTTACTAAAATAAATGCTGTCAAACAGAATTCGCAAAATTAGATAAGGCGTTTGTATAAAGAAAACATTATATTAAATTAATTAAAATTAAAATGAATTATATTTACATTAAAATTAATTAAATTAAATTAAATTTTTTTAGCTTATTTTTAAAACTGCATTCTAAAATGCTTCTCGAAAAAAAATTTTACTAAATATAATATAGTATACGTTACATATACTGTATATTTTGAGTAAAATTTTCCTCGAAAAAGATATACGTTTTTAAATGTAGCCTGTAAATGCGAAATTTTATTTACAGTTAATATCAACGGTAATATCATTATCGACAGTCGATAAATTAACTGACGTACAGAGGAAAACGCACATAGGTGGCGTGATAAGTTTGATTCCTGCAAAGTCACTAGATTAACAAAGTACCACGAACTGCCGCCATTTTGGCTACATGACACACGGTTATTTAAAATTTCAGTCTATTTCGCTGCGGTTTTTGCAATTTTCAACACAATAACCGGCATTTTCGATAATAACAGAATCAGGTTCTTCTTCTTCCAGACCTCTGTATGGATTTCCGTCCTTTTAAGGGCCACTTTCACCAAGCTCAGTAAACTAGGCCGGTTAGTCCATCGGAAATGACCAATCGCCATCTGTCTTCAAACAAAATAACAAATGCGATTAGTTAATTCCGATAGACTGACCGTCCTAGTTAAGTTAACTGAGGGCCACTTTCACCAAGCTCAGTTAACTTAACCAGCTTAGTAACTGTAATGAAATAGAAAAATATAGAAATAGTTCCATCTCTTTCTATTTTATTACAGTCGACACATGCGTCGTTCTATCCTTGTTGACATTCAGAGAGTGACAAAGGTAGAACAACACTTGCGTCGACTTATGTCGACTTGTGTCATCAAATGGAAAGCACCCATTGAAATTTGACCAATCAGAACAAAAGGAGTCAGAATTTCTTTGTCCTCATTGGTGAAATTTCAATCTTTAATCTTCAATCTCAATCTTCAATGCATAGCCTGATTTCGGCCTTAGGGCCATTCCACGTAAACTTGCATAGCCGCATAAATATATGCATAAAGAAAATCATCCATTGTAGTTTACGTTTGCCTTTATGACAGAAATGTGATTGTATAATTTTCTTTATACATATGATTATGCGGCTCTACAAGTTGTGTGAAATGGCCCTTAGGATAGCACTTCGACGCCATTTTGGGTCCAAATGCTAAATGAGTGAATTTTCTCGTCGCGGTACTTTGGGTGCTTTTCAATTGCTTAATGCTGGATTCACACTGGATCCGATTTGCGTCGTACGACGCTTTGCAACTAATCAGAAAACAGGATTCGATGGATTTTGCCTCGTATCATCGGAATCCTGTTTTCTGATTGGTTGCAGAGAGTCGTACGACGCAAATCGGATGCAGTGTAAATCCAGCATAACCGACAATTGGAGCGCAACTTGTGTCGCCGTGTGCAAGAGAGTGTCTAGGGATATTGCAATTGGAAAGCTCTCTTTGTTAATCTAGTGACTTTAGTTTCCTGACGAAAATAGGCGGCACGACATCTCGGTCTCGGTTCTTTACGTTCGCGGACGTCGCTGCGGTAGAAAAATTTTAACTTCACGCGCATTCACGCGATTGCATTTCAACATGGCGGGTTGCAACAAAGGATGCAGAAATTCGGAAGAAATTTCACAAGGTACCTTGGCGAAAATGTTATTATTTCCCGTACGGAGCGATTGAACGACATCGCGCCGTCGCTGGCATTCTCGCGTGCCCAACTTCGGGCCAATTTTACGATCTTTCCGCGCGACTTGATCGGACCTGACGTGCGAAATTAACCTCACTATACGTAGCTAACCTACAAGCAAACCTAAGCATACACTGCAATGTCGCGTTATTTTATGGCGTTTAAGCGACGCGACGACTGATTCCAGCGATCGCAATGAGCCTCGCTCGACGGGGCAGATTCCGCGCTGTTGATCTACGTTTTGTTTCCGATTGGGACTGTTCTCATCCGTAGAGAGACGTTCCCCTTAGTATAAATTCCGGCGTCGTCGAGTGTCAACATATATAAACCGTATACTTCCGTAAAAGTTAGTATTTCGCTCCGCGAGTTCATTGACTTCGCTGCACCCGACGAGGAATAGACCTTAGATGTGAAACTTTTGAGCTACGAGTGAGACACATTAGATGTACAAGTTGGATTTTTCTTTGTCTACTTTTATGTCAACATTTTGTATAATATCCATTAGATCTTTTCTTTTTAGCTGACCTGTGTTGAGCTTCTTATATAGTTTATCCTTTCTCTTTTTCTCTGGAACATGGAAAGAAACAGAGGAACGATGTATAAGAAGTCAGCTAAAAAGAACAAGCTTAACATTGCCTGATCTTTTTAGTTGAACTTCCTGTATGTATTATTATAATTTGAATAAGTATTCAAAATGTGTTATAGAAAGAATGATGCCATAGTTATTTTATGTATAATGATGTATCTAAGACCCAGTTTCACAACTTACGGTTAATTCTTAATCAAGATTCAACTTATTCATTATCTTTTTCCAATTCTAGCATTGGAAAGAGATGAGAAACAAATTGAACCTTAGTTAAGAGTTAATCATGAGTTGTGAAACTGGACCTAAATAAGAAATTACATGCACGAGTGTTGGCTTAATATCATTTTTATCAGATCAGATCAGTCTTTATAATACTATGTTAAACTATATAAATATTGAAAAAGTACAATTAAAATAGAAACTATTATTATGATACATATGTTATTGCATGTGTAAATATAATATATATATATATATATATATATATATTCCTGTACTAAAATTATATAATTATGAAATAATTTCGTAATTTATATATGATTGATAAAATGATAACTATACATATAAAATATTTGAATAAAACATTTGTGTGAATGTAATGAAGAAATTGATTGACAAACTTGATTTTTTAAATTAACATTATCATGATAACAATTTTCAGAATTAAAGACTTCTAAATCAGAGAAGGAAAAATCAGAGATACGTGCCGGAGGAAATAGAGCACCTCAGCCCTTATACAGACCAGGATGTGGTCCTTTACGTAAGTCGGGCAGATTTAACAGCACTGCTGACGAATACAGTACTGAAAATGGCTCACAAGAAAAATTTAGATCGACCTCCGTCCAGTATCATCCAAGACAGTCACAACCTAATAGAGCAAATCAGGCACAAAATAGTCCACCTCTATCACAAATCGATAATGTAGCTAAAAAATTGGACAATACCCATATTAACTATAGAAATAGCAGCAATAGCGAATCAGTACAAAGCCCTGGTAATAACTCTGGCAGAGGAGCAGGTAGAAATGACCCAAAAAAGAAAAATAGGAAACCTGAACAGTTGCTATATGTACCGAAAAAAGTGAAAGAAGCAATGGCTGAACAGGATGGAATCAACAGGTAAAGTAATTATGACTTTTCCCATTGATTTAAGAAGCTTATATAGGAAAAGTAATGCGACAATTATATTATTTTTTAGTAGTGTTTATTACATTATTTTAATATAAGCTATTGAATTCTATTAGATCTCCCAGCCATACTACATGGGAACGAGAGAGAGAAGAGAGTAACGATCGCGATTCACATTCAAATCGTAATCACAAAAGCGATCGCAATCGTGCGAGTAGTCACACCATGCGAGACAATGAAAGTGAAGGCAGAAGTAGAGATGACACTAGTAAACGATATTCGGGTAATCGTCGACATCGTCATGCAAATGAGAATGGAGAACGTTATTGGCGAACCGAATCGCCAGTATCCGTTAGAAACTGTGTTAATCGAAAGGATAATTCACGTGAAGTTAGACAGGTCTGTGATTTGAAATAAGATTTTACAATGATAATCATAGATTATAAAATTATAATATAAAAATTTGTATATAATTTACTGTGAAAAATATTTTTTTTACGTATTATTAGGGCTCGGAACCTTTATCTTTGACCAACCAGAATGATTTTAATCGTACGCGAGACACTCGCAGTGTAGAGCCTGTTGGGCATTTGGATAAGTTTCAAGGAAAGCCACCGTCAGGTCGACGCAATCCGAAAGACACCTTGTCGAAAAATATTAAGTTAGATCTCTTGCCACCACGATTCCAAAAGAAATATCTCCTTGATAATGGATATGCATTATCTAGTAACACTCCAGGTACGTCCGCAGAGGACTCCTGGAATGGTAGCAGCATTACATTTCAGGTAAAAATTTGTTTAATGCTGATTAATTTTTTTTATATTTTATGAATATTGGTTTCTAGTATAATGATTTATAATTAAAGTAACATATGGATTATAATATATATTTTAGCAGGGTTTATCCAGTTATAATTATCCATCATCTATGCAGCATTCACAAACTATGCAAAATTTGCCACCATCTGGGTCGTTGCAATCCCCACAATCTAATTGGACTAACACCGTTCCAACGAGAAGCAGAGGTAGAGGTAGACTTAGACCCGAGGAACTTGATGGTACAGCCGGTAGTATTTTTAGGTCTGTTACACCCGACCAATATTCGGCTCCAAGTTCCAGATCTCATACTCCTAGCCAAGAATACATAAACAATATACGGTACAATTATATATTATTATATTGGATTTTTCGTTTAAGCAGTCATATGAACATTATCTGTTGAAACTTTCATCTGTTGAATCTTACAAAATTTATGAATAACAGGTCTTACGATCGCCGTGGTAGCAATAGTACTATGTATACAAGCATGGAAAGCTTAAGTCGTGCCGATAGCGTAATGATGCCTCCGCCTTTATCTGCATCGCCTGCAACTTCGCAATCAAATTCGAATAGAGGTCACAGATCACCTGAGAATCATCGCAGAAGCGCAATATCACCAATAGACGATCGCACTAG